CAGGCTCTCAGACAAAATTAACTTGTACTGAAAAGGCATCTTTGCACATAAATGGCATCAATCAGAACGGCGTCTAGCAAATGGTTCTAGGTAAGACAAAACAAACACGGATGCCAGCTTTACTGCTTCCTTGTGGAAAGAGAGGAAGGATGCAAGAACTGAGAATTATCCTTACAGAGCAGAGGTGCAGTGCCACTTCAGTGCTTCACTTTCTATTCCCAAATTTTTGTATCTCCAAATATCTGAAAACCCCAGCAGAAACAAGCTTGTTCTTTACAGCTCTTGATTATGTGTGCTCACACAGTGGACAAAGTTAGGAAAAATAGGTTATAATTGCACAGGGGTGGCTTAAAAGTAAAACAACAAAGAAACACCACCTGTGTATGAACAAGATTAAATAGGCTTGTGTAGACGGGAACGGGCTGCTTCCTAACAGACTAAAACAAGAGTTTTCCACAAGGTGGAGGTATGTAAGTTGCTCGCATCTTCGCACTACGTTTAACATATAAGGACAGAGGCTATGTAGCCATTTCTGGCTCAGCTGCCAAGAAAAGCCATAGGTCAAACAGGAATTAAGCTAGTTTCACTATCCACTTTTGGAAGGGGGTAGGAACAGGGAGGAACAGCTTGCACCCCTTGCCGTCTTTCTTCTGTATGCTCAGTACCAGTCCTGGGGTTGTTGGCTGGCACACAAGAAACATGCCTCAGCCAGCAGGACCACATTGCCTTTTTGCAGTAAGAAAGAGAACATCTGGTAAGCAGAATCTGTAAGAAGTCAGGGGAAGAGAATGGAATACAAAAGTCTTTCTTATACTAGATCTTCTGCCTGTTTGAAATATCAGCAGAAGGAGGAATATACATTGTCTAACCCACAACTTTGAGCAATCATCATTTGTCATGGAGTTTAAGCCACACAGGAAAGAACTTTATCTTGATACATGGGGTAGAAATTAAACTTACATACAAGTGCAGAGATGTATTAAGAAATTATCCAGCATAGTAGTCATGGGTGTCTGAATCATAAACTAAGTTAACAACACAGGTATGAAAAGTGATTTTTTTTAGGCTATATATTTATCAGAAGCAGTATTAATGTATGAATCCACCTTGGAAGAAAATAAGTGTCCTTGAGATGTTAGATTCTATCAGCCAAATTGAATGTCTGCATCAATGGCTCTCCCTAAAAGTCATAATTAGGTCATTAAAATATATTTAGAAAAATAGCCTGTAAAATAAAGTTAAAAAATACTCACCTTCATTTTATTTCATAGGTCACTGTTATACCATCTAATAAGATAATTAAAAACATGCAAGCAGCTGGTACTGAGGCTAAACAGATTAATGTAATAGTCTGTAGTCATATGTGCTGGCAAGGGGTTCACCTCTTTGGCGAGGAGAAGGTCAGCTGCCCTTGGGAAGGCAGGAGAAAGACAGTATTTCTACTTTCAGTGGCACTGCATTGCAGATACTGAAACTAGAGACCCACACTGATTTTTCTTTTCCTTTTGGTGAAGTCCAGCCCATTTGCACATCCAGAAAAGGCTTTAGCCACAGCAGTAAAATAATAAAGTAGAGCGGAGCTCAAATATTTTCCTCAAGTTTCTTATGTTTTAAAGATGAGAGTTACTATATGTCTAAACCCTTGTTCAAATTTTTCCAATACTGAACTTCAAATTTTGGTGACATGGTTCCACCAAATAATTTTCATAATTTCTTATTAGTAAAGCTTCTTCTCAAGTACACAAAGAGTACTTCCATCAGAGCCTGAAGATCAACTAGAAAATTCTCTGTGACCTGACAGGACGCATTCACAAACTCACAGAATATTTAGAAATATGTGGCAGTCACATGTGCTTTTCACTTACATTACTTACAAACTTTATGACCTAAAGGAAAATGCTCACTATGTGAACATAAGCAGCATTAAATCTGTGCCGTGATCATCACAAGCAAGAGCCACGAACTCTAAGGTAACACCATCATATTAAAAATAAAACCATACAAATAGTTCTGGAGCATTATCAATATATCAAAGGATAATGATCTGACATCCTTTATTAATACATACACACACACTGGGAGTCTTGTACTGGATAGTGTAAAATTGTCCTTTAAAATAAAAAGTGTTGGAATCAAGTAACACCCCCCCCCGGCCATGTTTTTTTAATTGTGGTAAAAACAATACACTCTTAAGAGCACTTTAATAGCAAAACACACTCACATTCAAATATTTTTAAACATTTGGAGTTGCCTCTTCTCTTAAATAAACTGTAAAGAGACTGCTAGTGATAAAACATAAAGCAGCTTTTGTTTCAGTAAAAATTTCCAGTAGAATTTTGCATGTATTAGCCTTCTGCAAGCATGACATCTACCATGATCCAAAGATGCCTTTGCCTCTTTCAGGGCAAAAATTCACTAGCCAGTCTTTTAAAAATACAATAGACTGAAACACATTGGGTAAACAAGACTATCATCAGTTTTATCAAATTACTAACTTACTGAAACAATATTCATTGACAGTATCCTAAAATAAGTCCAAGTCTCTAATGAGTCCTTAATGAATTACCATTGTTACCTTTCAAGGAAGTTTAAGATTCACTTTTTGTCTTTCATAAGGTATTAGCTGCTCATTTTTACTTAACATGCAGCACAGAACTATAACTATCAATACAATATTCAACCCAACTAGCAAATTTACAGCCAGTCTCATTATATGATGGAAGTTACTTGCCACTGAGCAGAAAATATCCATTTCACACCTTAAACATTGTAATACTACTTAATAACAGTGCTAGCTTGCCAACTATTAAAAGTCAGAGGTTTCTTTTATATACATATTTGTATACATACACAGACATATATATATACACACGGTACTATCTTGCTTTATCATCTTGCCTCCAATTATAACAATAATATTCTGGCACTGGTATATGGGACCACTTTAAAAATACTAATTAACTTCAGTTTTGTAAGTTGGGCTGTAATCCTCTCTGACAGAATACGATTATTATTCAGTGGAAGCCGTAGCCAACATCGTATTTATTATATGCACTTTGGACTAAGGAATATGGAGATACAAAGGCCAGCTTTAACCTCCTCTTATTTGTGGAGCATTAAAGATGGCTGAGGATTCAGTACAGTTTAAGCTGGGCTAGTTTAGCACCCTGGACTGACGTACTGAGAGATGAGTGCCACTGGGTGAGTGGAGAAGGGGTAGGAAGAAAGGGTTGGACCCCAGCTTACACTCTCGTGGAACCAGAGCCTAGCTGTACCTGGCTGATTCTTCAAGTTTTATCTTGGCAGGTACAACAGCTGGGGCTCTTGAGTTAACGACTTTCAGGTATATGTGTCCTGTAATTAATGGCAGAGCGAGCTCTCAACTCCTTCCTTTTGCTGATCTGGCTAAATTCTCTCTTGTCTATTTTTCAGAGATTGCTTCACGGTCTCTGTATCTACACATGCTTCTCACCTAAAAAACATGAAGATTATTCTGGGTGGTATTCTTGAGCTCTTCTTTTAACTCAGATAGTATATTGTATGCATTAAAGAACACAAATATGACAAGAAATCGAGTCAGGCAGAACCCTGAAAAGGATCTGCTAACATATTTTTCTCAAAGTGAACACGCTGACTACCCTCAAAGGGTTTTATGTCATCATAAAGTAGGCTTCATTAGAGCAGACTTACTAGAATACAGAAAATTGGAAGGATTTGTAAATCAAACCACCCCTGTCCCACTGTGTCCCTGCAGGCCCACCCTTTTTTCCGACCTTGCTCTTAGTCCAGAAGCTGAGTGCTTCAAACACCTCTGGGTGTTTGAATCACAACAAACTCCTTGCTGTTCCCTCTAGGTCCTTACAAAAAGTCTTTCTTTTCAACATCCTCAAGACCAGGCTGTTTGCTCCCTGCTCTCCTCAGCAATCTCTCAGTCTCCAGCCTGCAACAGGTTCTCCAGGCGTGGTGTCCCTCCCTGCCACCCCCCACCTGAAGGCTCCTCATGCCCAGCACAGCTCGCTGCCCGCAAGACAGTGCGATATTCCCCACCCAGCCGGCTGCAACCAGGACAAGGCAAACAGGCAGGTTCCTCCTGCCTGCCTGCCTACACCTCTTTGAAGTACAGACTCCAGTAGACTACAAACGAAAAATGAAAAAGACGTCATCCATCATAGCTGATGAATCCAAAACAATCGTGTGGTAAGCTTGTTTTATTTTACCATACTTAAGCATCAAAATCAGATGCAGTCATTCTGGTTAGCACAAATCTTACTATTAATTTACCAGTCAAAAGGACAAAGATTTAGCATTTGTAGCAGAGGCAGTATTTTGCTGGCTGAAAGATGAAACTACGCATCTGCTGATTACCTTTCTGTGCTTTCAAGTACAAAACACCCCCTGGTATGTATCTAAGCAAGACTCAAGCTCAGTGACAGTGCTGCAAAAAGTTGCTCAGCGTCATGTTTCTTTAACTGGTGTTTACTACCAACAGAAATGAAATATTATTTTCCTGGTAGAAAACCTCGAATTTAACAAATCCTGGCTTTGTTTTTTTGACCCGAAATAATGAGCAAATAAAGAGTTCCGTGTGGTCCATAGATCCAGTTATTTTGGAGAAGATCAGAAAGGTGATCCTTGTGAGTTAAATATTTCAACAACATTTAGCTTAGTTGCTATGAGTTTACAGGAGAATTTCTACTTTATTGCATACTTTGGAGAAAAAAAACCCAAAAAACAACCTTAAAAATATTTTGGCTTACAAACATCTGTACTTTCGTTAGTTAAGCATTTTGAACAGCTTTCTCAAAAAAATGATAATCCAGAAGACAACTTTTCAGATCATTCCTTAATTAAATCCTTCATGTCCTTTAGTCTACTGACTGTCGCAATTTATATTGTACAATACTCTTAAAATATATGAAACAGTTCTTCTGCTTTAGATTATGCTGCTTATTATATTCAAACTTTTTAAAATTATAAAATAAATATACAAAATTACCAACCTGTAAGAAATAAATGTTCCATCAGAATCTGAGGTGTGGTGTGTGCTTCCATTTTCATTTGATCCTCCTAATACAAAAAGAAAACACATTTGTTATAAGTCAAACCCTGATAATAAATAACACAGTATCGATGAGAATTGCAATTGATTTTACCATACATGGTAACTTTAGTTTGCGACAAAACTTACACAGACAAGTCTCAACTTTACATCTTCAAATTCTTACAGTTTGCAAGAGACACAACTGGCCTCCATGTTCTATTTGGAGTCTGAATGTTCTGACAATCTGAGATTTAATTTCACTTAAAGTTTTGATTGAGGCCCTTCTCAATTTATTAAACACAATTTTACTAGTATAAGGTTACAGAGGTATACCATATAAATAGATAAGTTCGATTTTACTAACATTAAGTCAAAGAATGTTGAAGTTCATCTACTTTGTGAAGAATTTTGAGTTGACTGTATGATACCAGATATTTTTTGTCATAGCACAAGTTCAAAGCTTCTCTGAAACTACGTAAGTAACACATCTGCAAAACATCTTCTTTTACATGCTGTGGGCTGTTTATACATAGAACAGTGATGTTCATAGAAACAAAGGATTACAAGGAAACCATCCTCTCTATAATAACTACTTCTATTGAAGGACTATTAAAAGCCAGAAAGAATCATCTGTTTTTCAAATGCAATTTATTCATGTCCTGTTTTATACTATTTATTCTTGCCCAACCTGTCATTTAGCTTGCTAATTCTTCTATGTCCCTGTGTATTTCCTTAATTCATTTACAGATAGCATTGGGCACCTTTGTGTACTCTGTTCTGCTTACTTAAATCAAGTTCTTTCAATCTTTTTCCTAAATGAGGCTCCTTATTCCCTATTTTGTTTAAATCAGTCCTTCTTACATAGAAAAGAAGGGACAAGAGCTGTAGACAGCATACTAGAAGTTTAATCAGTTGATTCTTTGGACAGTGGTTTTCTTCTCCATCAAAAAAATCTTGCTCGATACAGTCGATGCCATACCATCTTGCAGTTTCACAGCCATCCTTAACCAACAGTCCTACATGTTTACTCTCCGTTTTTATTTACAAAAAGTTGTTTGCAGTTTACGGGAAAAATTCTCGCTAGTACAATACCGTATTTACACTATCTCATGCCGTTTCTAGTCCTCTTTTCCTCAGAAGGGACCAGTCCTACCTGAATACTTTATTTGTGCTTGCACTGGATACTACTTTCTAGTATTTTTTCTTCATAAAAGTCCATCAGTGCAGTCTCTCACTTTGTGGCAAGACAACAAATGAAAATATTGGATAAGATGAGTTCCACCACAAACTCCACTACAAATAATTCTTTCACTAAAATCTGCATTTCTTTATTAATCTTATAATTACTATACTTTACTAATCCCCATTCTTTCTATTTCATAACATCTCCTGTGGCACTACATCAGATGGTTTACTGAGATCCAGATAGACTTAACATATTTCCTTAATGTATATTTTGAAAGGCTAGCAGGTTAGCTGGGCACAATCTCCCATTTAACAAAAAACCCGCACTAAAAGTTATGCCATTCACTTTTCTCTCTTACTTCTTCCTTAAAAACTTTTCTAAAGCCTTGCACGGATAATAGTCAACCTATATAGCTGCTTTGCTATCACTTTTTTTTTTTCTCTTAATCTAAGTACAGGTACTACATTTCCCCTCCTTCAAATATATGCTATCAGCCATAAACTAAAAGACTAAAAAATTGTTCCATGCAGCAGTATCTGTCAGTATTCTTGAAAGACATTTACTCTGCAAGTCAGATGCTTTAATCTTTATTGGATGTGCTAATCTATAATATCTACCCAACACTCCCTTTTATTTTATTTATTCATTTTCAGGCCTTTGCCTGAAATTTTGTTTTTACTGAAAATTAAAACTTTTCCGGTTTGGACCATACCTGGATTACATCTAATATCGTTTGTCCATTTGCACTGCACAATGGTTCCAGTTTTCTTCCCCAGAAAGCTTCTTTACATAGTCAAGTAATATTTTCTTGTTAATTTAAATTCCCTTCTTATGATCTAATTCAACTTAACTTTTGCTAACTGTCACTATAACCCCACAGTTTCTGATATCGGGAGGTAGCCTTCTGTGCAAATCAAGCTGTTTTTCTGTTTCTTTCAGGATCTTTGCTTACTCCAGACATTCCTTAAAAAATACTTAATAATTCACTTTGGCATAGAACTTTCCTTCCAAGCATTTTTTCTCATCTAATTCGGAATGCATTTTTTTTATTAACTTTTGCACCTTTGTCTAAAATAAATCCCAAACCTCTACTACATTTTAGTCTAAAATCACTCAGTCCAGTTGATTTCACTAATTAGCTCTCTCAATTTATTTTGAAAATGGAAATCCTACTTAATCAATCTGCTTTTTGTTTACTAAATTTAACTGAATTAACAACACCAGATATTTCATCCAGGAGCCGACCCTCCCGTTATTAATAACCATCTGTCCCTTTTTTTCTTGTATCTTGGAAAATAGTCTCCCATATTGGGACCATTTTAAGTAATATGCTTTTTCATATATTACCCATCTCCACATCTGATCCTGAGCATTCAGAAAAATGACTGAACTATGTTCAGTCTCTTTTAAAGCCATATGGCTAGGTGTAGTGATACTGGGCAATTGTTTATAGGGACACAGCACATCAAAATGGGTCCTGAATGCACTACTGCACTTTATTTATACTTAGACAACTCCTAAGCATTCACCTATCACACCAGTCAGACTGAAAAAGAAAACTCATTCACAATAAGTTCATATGCTGAAAAATATATTTTGGGACTCTTTTCAAGAATGGTAACACAACCTTCCTTTCTGAAGAATGAGGTTTAAGAATATCTCAAAAAATGCAAGGCCTTTATATCTTTCAGCTAAACCATTTGTCCTGCTTGAAGAGTCAACAGGACTCTGCAAAGAAAAGCAGAATCTGGGTGACAATAGTTGTTCTTTCATCAGGATCCCACAATGAACATTGCTACATCCACTGAGCCGTCCTTCACAAACGACTCTAAGGGTAGCTTGCTTTATTCTGAAGCACTCTCTCGGAAGACAATAATTTCCTTTATTTAAATGACCGCCACAATACTTTAGCATTCTTCATTGTACACCCATTGTTAATAAGTCTCATATTCATACAAGCTATTGTTGGCAGGTATTTTTGAGAACTGCTTTTGCTGCTGCATTGTATCATTAGCAGCAGCTACCAAAACTGGATAGGATTAGGTACATTCAGCTCTCAAAAACAGGATTTAGTGGAGCAGGCATTTCTGTGGTTGTTTTCTTTCTCCATCCCCTTTAAGACAGATATGTCTGTTATGACATCTTGAAAGATGATTTAGATGTCTTTCACTGAAAGTGATAAAAATGATAAAGCAAAGTGCAAAGTATTCATTGACTTAAAAGAAGATTCCCTAAATTTTACCTACTTTTATCCAAAAGGCCTTCTAGCAAATCCTGGTAAGTCTTCACAGTCTGCAATACTTGAGAACAAACGGGACAGGTGCTTCACTAACTTATGACAATAAGCTGTGGGAATCCATGATCACCTCTCCTCAGGGAAGTTCCAGTTATTCCTCCTTTTGAAGGGTATGGTGAACTCCCACTAGAACAGATAGATTACTTGTACCTTCTTCTTGTATCTCCTTTAAAAATCCTAATTGATTCAGTATTATCCTAATCTTTAGATCCTTTCTGAGACTCAAAAATGGGAAGACAGGCTCTGTTGAAGAAACAGAGGATGCTCTACCAAACCTGCCCCACACCTCCTGAAAAGGTTTCTAAACTTCAAATGCAAAAGCTAGGGGAAAAAAAGGGTAAAATAAATCTTATCGCACTTCAGAGGAAAGAGAAGGGAAACAACCAGTACCATAACAAGCACCAGTATCAAAGTAAGTATGGCTAAGGTACCCAGCTTTCAGCACTAGAGCAGTCACTGGTTTTAATACAATAACAAAATAAGGCAGGATCCTTCCAAAGGGACTGAAAATCATTTGGATATCTTTCTTGCTGCTGCTTTAACTGGAGAAACTCCCTCTCCTGGGAATGAACTTCTCCTGAAAGAATTCAGTTCTATTGCCCTCTTTTAGTAAAGGCTGTTCTTGTACATGGAGACCAAGGGCTAAAGGGAGCTGGGACTTGGGTAGCTGGGACCTGGTACTACAGGACACAGCTGGAGGCTGTTTCAAGAGAATTCGCATAACTTGAAATTGATGCTTTTACTAACCAGTCAAAAAAGAACATTTCAAATGCTGGCTTCTTTAGATTTCAGAGATGCATGGAGAAGGATTTGTAAATAGTACATTTACTAGGGTACTAGATTCACCCAGAACACACAGGCTTGTCACTTGCAGTAACTGTTTTCTTGTAAGAAGATGTTTGAGATTATAGACATAGCATAAAATAGATGAACCCAGAATAAGGAGGATGCCAAATACACTTTCTGAAGATTATCTGAAAACCACGTGTAGAAATTATAATAAGGAGAAGCCCAATTTAAATACGCACACTATTTTTGTATTTTTATTTTTTAACAGCCTATTATACTGATAGTATAATATCTTCTCAAAGAAGAGCTTTTTCAAGGTGCAGTGCACAGTTTCCACTTCAGGCAATAAAAGAAACTGGATAGCATTTCAGGGCTCCAGTTCAAGAGCTGGAAGATGCTCTGGGTACGCACCAGGCACAATGAGCACTCTGAGCTCAAGCATGTGCTCAACAAGAGTAAAAAAGCAGGTGAAGAACGATGCAGGGATCAGACTTTTCTCACTCCTCTCCTTCATTACCTCTCTGAAAACAGCTATTTTCTGTAAGATGCAAAAATTCAACACAGGACTTCTTACGGAGAAGGGCTGGGATACTATCATAACCAGCTGCAAGTCTACAAAGACAGGAAGCTTGAGTGACATCCCCTTACTCTATGGATATACTCCTATACTTTTAAAAATAACTGAACTCTAGCTTTTTTCTTTAGAAAATATGTTTTGATATTCAAGAAATGTCTTTACATATATACATACTTCT